TTTAAGAATATAGCATGACTCTCAGGAAGAGGTTACATAGTTTTTCATGGATTCAGGGAGTGGGGAAAGTGGGAGCCAAAAGGACCCTTTAAGAGGAAAATTTTCTTTCCTTCAAGAGCTCTGAAAAAAAACATTGTTCATCTCTTTAATTGGATTAAGTGTCTTAGCAAGAGCTTCAGGTGCCCAACGCCAAACATTAGAAAGATGTTGCATCGTGTGCTCCTATAAATCACCACGTGGGACCAGTGTGTATTTTATGGGACTGTTCAGTTTCTGTGGACCGTGTTAGCTCAAGCTGTGACTGCCGCTGGTTTGGCTGGGCCAGAACTGATGCACGGGTGGTGCAGTACCACTAGTGATCTGACGATGGCAGCATTGGGCGACCTATCTCACTTTCCTCCGCACCGCGGTGTGAGCACGTCCTGCAGCCTGTTCCACAGTGGTGTTTGGATTTCAGATTGTCACTCAGACTTTCTTCTGCTTAATGACTGCATGTATGCAAATGACTTTGCTCTTTTCTGTGGAAGAGGTCCAATCTGTCATTCTTGTTTTGGTTTTCAGTTAATGATTATATGTAATTATAATTCAAATAAAATATTTATAAATAATTACATATAATTAGTGGTATGTAAACCTTGGAATTCATGAACGTCAGCTCTAATAAAAGGTACCCTTCAATTTGGGAGGTGTTAGTCTTACTATTATTATCTGTTTCTATTTAAAAGATATTAGTGGCCAAAAATCTGCAATTGTCTTTCACTGGTGTTTTTTATAAGATTCAGGGTTTTTTGTTTGTTTGTCTGCTTTTTAAATAATAAGCAGGATATTTATTTAGTAAATCATTAGGGAATTATAGATCCCCAACATCTGGAGAATCCTCTAAGGAAAACAAATGACATTTTTCTTAAAAATTCAGAAACAGTTACCACTGAATTCTGAAAGGTCATCAGGGGGTCACCCAGGTCAGCTTTAAGCAGGCTCTGCAGTTACCCCCAGACAGAGGACGTGTGTGTTGCCCTCTCCTCCCCATTAGCAACCGTGACCAGCATGCGTTTCCAAGGTCTCTACCACCAATGAAAACAGAAAAAGGAAAATTATTCTGAGCCAGTCCGTTATTCAGATTTTGCCAACACCTGAGACTCAGGTGTATTTTACCATTTTCTCTCTATTTGTTACTCACGTGTGGAGCTGCAAATGGAAAACAGTCTCAGGACAACGGGTCTTAACTCCCTGGGGAGTGTGGGCTGCAGAAGTAGCTTCTAGGCACTTTCTGTGGTTGGGGATAATAACAAACCAAAGGGAAAGGTAAATGAGAATAAAGGGAATGAGCAGATGGAGCTGTGTGAGGTCAGAGTTTCAGGAAGGACTCTCAGGCGAGGTATGGGCCAAGCATATTCCCAGGGATGAGGAGCAGAAGGCAGTGACTCTTTCCTCTGAGGTTGCCCTGGTTCTAGAAGCATGTGGACTAAAGACACACTGATAGACTTAGCTTTGAACCTTGAGTTCAGTTGATGCAGACCTTTTAATTCTGCCTGAAATTGGTTGGGATGCCAGATCTATGTGAAGATCTCTGTGAAGATCTATGTGGCACACCAAATTTTCTCAGGGCTCCCCCAGCCAGTTTTGATTTGGGTCATGATCGTGACTACGCATTATGTATGCACTGGTGTAGCATAAGGAAAATGCTCTTAGTAGGCTGATCCGAGTGCTCCTGTAAACGGCTCCGTGTGTGTATTTTGCAGGCTTTAGAACACGACGGCATTTCCCCTCCCCCAACACTTCTGTATGCAATGTTCAGGCTCCAAGGATTCAATACATGTGCTATAGATGTGATGTAAATTAGGCAAATCAGCTGAAGACACACAAAGAAGATGCTATGAGGTTCTAATTTTCCTGTTTGACTTTAACTTCTCCATTTTTTGTTTGTAAGGGAAAAATCATGCATCATTAATCTTTTACCTCCAAACTTTAAAATACTGAGCTCTAGATCTCTTCAACGTCACCATCTAGACTGGTCCTGAGTAAATTGCTTTACCTCCTTAAACCTGAGTTTTCCTTTTGATTAAAGAGGAGGCTGGACTTTGTCTTCTTGTTTTGCAAGTGTATAATCACTCCTCTTCATTGTGCCCAGCATTGTGTGAGTTTTTTTTTTTTTTTGCAGGACTTGAGGGCAATATTTGAACTTTTCAAAACATATTCACCCCTCTCGTGGTTCTTCTTATGAGAGGCCACTATGATATTCCTTCTCCTAATCCCCTGCTACCTTTGGCCCAAGTCTGCTTGAGTCATTCAACTCTCTTGTCTCTAGGCTGCCACCTCCTTCTGACAGGTTTCTTTGATCTCACTCCTGTGCCTCTACAATCTATTCTTTATCCATCATCAGCATGATCTTTTGAATACTAAATCGGCACATGTCTCTTCACACCTAAAACCTTTCAGTGATCTCCCAGTGTCCTTGGAAATGCAAATCTATTCCTGCCTCAGGGCTTTTGCACTTCCTCTGCTGGTAACACTCCTTCCCCTAGATCAGCAATTTTCAACCTTTGTGCTGCAAGAATTTTTAAAACATGCAACAAGTGACTATTAGAGGCACTGACCTCTTTTCCCTTAGATTGTGAAATAAAACAGTGACAACAGCCAACACAACAATAGCAGTCTGGTGAGAATGAATCAAAATTATACCTATTTTTTGTCAGATTGATAAAAATATAACATATTTTGTTAGACTGACAAATATATTTTTTGGTGTGCCACAAATTTTTAGTAATTAGTTTGCGAGTGCCACAGATGAAGAAGGTTGAAACCACTGCCCTAGATCTTTGCACAAAAGGCTGTTTTTCAAGCGGCTTAAATATTACTCCTTCAGAGAGGCCTTCCCTGGCCTCTCCAACTAAAATAGCTATGTCTTTTGCTTAATGTCTGACACGTTACATGGTTTTATTTATATGGCATATTCTACCTGACATTATCCTGCATATTGATTTTTGATGTTGTTATCGTTGTCTGTCTCATCTCAGTATTGCCTATATACTTCTCGGGAATGGGGCTTTGTTGCCTTCTTTGTTGCATGTCCTTAGCAGCTAAAGCAGTCTAGCATATAATAGGTGCTCAAGGAGTACTCGTAGAATAAATAAAGGAATGTCATCGTAGGCGGGACAACTGCATGCTAGAGAGGCTGTGCTCATGCAGCTGATTAAGAGTCGGGCCCAGATGAAGCCCAGGGCTCCTCACGCTTCTTTCCTCCAGGTTGCACAGCCACACAACAGGCCTAACTTAGAGATCATTCTTTCATTCACTACTTGTTTGTTTATTTATTCACCGGTTGTTTATGGAGCCCTCACTATGTTTCAGACACTGTTTTGTATCCGTGGTTCTCAACCAGGCGTGATGTCGCTCCCCTGGGGACATTTTTCAATGCGTAGTGTCATTTGTGGTTGTTGGGGCTGGGGAGTGGGTGCCACTGGCATCTGGTGAGCAGAGGCCAGTAAACATTCCATGGTATGCTGGACCCCCCACCCCGTTCCAGTGGAGACTTATTCAGCCCACACTGTCAATAATGCTGAGCTCGGGAAACCTTGTTCAAGATGAACAGACTGCTACCTGTTCCCATGGATTTTATCATCTATGGTGGGGAGACAGGTGACAAATAGTCTACACCATACAAAAATAAGTGGAAGACCATGTCCAAAAGTGGTGTGATAGAAAAGAAAGAAAAGTCAGAACAGAGGAGTCTGGCGGGCACCGCAGGTGCTGGGGGTGGGAAGGGCTATACTCTGAGCTTCCTTGAGAGGTGAACCAGCAAAAGAGAACCTGCCTCTGGGGTTTTAGCTCCGTGACCTGGACTAATTGGTCCTTCGGGTCCAGCCTGTTGCTGCAGGACATCAGCCCACTCCACTCAGATCACCCTCACTCTGGAAAAACGTGAAGCCCTCCCGAACCGAGGGGCCTGTTAACCTCCACATAAAAATAGAGCAAACTGCCATGGGCAAGGATTATTAATTTCTGTCCCTTTTAAGCAGTGTTTAAATTTTCCTCTTTCTCAACACTTCAGCACACTATGATCGCTAATGCAGGACAGTGCTAATTTGATGCAAGTTTTATTGCTCATTGTCTGCTTCTCACTTTTCTCTCAAAACAAAAATGGTGTGATTTCAGCCTCTCTCAAGGGCATTGTGAGTTTTCAGTTGTGCAGAGGTTTCTGTCTGTCTAGGTTAATTTCCTCAACTCAACAGAAATAATTGTAGATTTTAATATCTTGGGAGGGCTGTAGTAGCTAATAGTTGAAGCTGATAAAACTCAGGTCAATGAAATGGTTCTTATGATTATATATATACTTATATATTTATATATGTATTTACACAGACACATACATTGTATATGTATGTGTGTGTGTATATACACTGATTACATTTAAGATCTCACTGAAAAACATACTAAATTTTTGGTTTTGGTCATTTGGTAAGTATGTACTTACTTTATTGGTCTCTCTCTTATTTCTTTACCAAGGTTGGCACCCTGGAGATACTCAGCAAATGTCTGTTGAATTAATGAACAAATTGCAAATATCAGTTTGCGATTACTAGGTTCTAATTAATTTTTTCACATATACATGAACTCACATATCGCCAAAATACAACATAATAAATATTATATAATAGCATGTTCTTACAGCATTATTACTGTGACATATTAATTTATTTCTAAATCTGTGTTTTTTTATGTTTAAAATGATTGCATAGGATCTGATTTGATTCATGGGTTTCTGAATGTGGTAAGTGTAAGACTTGTAGTGCTTAGATACCTTTTCTGTATACCTTTGACCTAGGAAAGGATTAGTAAGCAAGAAAATAGATGTCAATAAATGATTTTGATTCAAATATATGTGAATTGACATTGTTGAAGAAATTACGGGCAGTGCGCCATTTTATTTTGGGTGCTGTTTTATTCTATAGAAGCACTTGTTGACCAGTTTACTGAATGCGTGTTGCTTTTTTTTTTAGTGCTATTTCTTTACAATTGAGTTTGGCCTGTGCAAGCAAGAAGGGCAACTGCGGGCGTATGGAGCAGGACTGCTTTCTTCCATTGGAGAGTTAAAGGTAGGAAGCTGTGAATGAAAGTATCCTTCCCAAGCAAACTGGTTCAAGGTCATGGGCAATATTGATTTGTGTGTCTGCCCATTTCTACTTGCAGATGCTCCATAAATATTTAACACAGAGGAGTTGGCACCTCAGCTGTGGGGGCTGACCTAACTTTCTGCTCTTCTGAAAATGGGTCACACCTTTTCAGGTTTGTGGTGAGACTCAAATGGATGAGCATGTACGTGCAGTCAATGGGAATGACAAATGCATGCTCAGATGTTGGCTAACTAATGACTGTCCCACATTCAGTGCTGACAGTAGGCAATGAGCTCGCAGTATTCTACTGATTAAAATGTCCTCGTAAGGTTGCCTTGACTAGTCTCATTTCTGTCACTCCCTGGCTCCCAGGGACTAATCTAGCATTTAATTCCCAAAGGGGAATTTGAGATTATTTGAGCTTCTTCAAAATTAATGTGTATTAAAGCATATGTGGACATATACAATTTAGTAAAAATCTAAATAAACCTATGGTCTGAGAGGTACCTCCTATGAGTAGCGATGCCTAAAGGATGCTATTTTGGTGCCTTGACATATGGTAATGTTTCCATTTATTCAGAAGTGCTGGGGCCTGAGGCTTCTGATAATTTAAGTATTCTGGTTACTGAGCAATTACTATCTATACCATTGGGGATAGCAAGTTTTGATGAATTTAGAATGCAATGTGAAATATAACCTGGAAATGGTACTAAAACAATTTTATCTTTTTTTGATTATTCAGACTAAGATCAGGATTATGGACTATGTTAGGGTTTGAGTTTCCTTAGAGTATTGATTGTTACATAATATAATTAGGAAATATATGGTAATTGAAACTTTTTGTTTTTTTTCTGTTCTTGGAAGATGTAATTTATAATTTTATCAAGTCCTCTCAATTGTGACCCCATTCATTCATTCCCCAAACATTTGGTTGAGCACCTAGTATGTGCCATGGACTGTGCCATTCACTTGGGAATACAAATAATCATAATGAAGAATAAGAATTAAAAGAAAATGACAACTACCTCAATGGACACTTAAATAGACCTTACTATTTTTGGTGATTTCGCCATATAAACCCATTGAATTCTCACAAAACCACAAAGAGATAAGCATTACTGTCATCACAGATGAGAAAGCGGAGGCATGAAGATGTTAAGAAACTTGCACGAGGTCCCACAGCTTAGTAAGTGTTGGTTGGGGCTGGACCCTAACAAGTCTGGGCTCTAGAACCTGAGCCTTTAACCAGGAGCCACGTTGCCTGGGATTCTTGTTATTAAGGGGTTTACATTCCAGTTCAAGAGACGACAATCAGATAATACAATGTGGCAAATGTGCCCGGACAGATGGGGCCATGTGTGGGAGGACTTCCCGACAAGGGCCCAGCCGCCCAAGCTGCGGGAGAGGATGCGGTGATGCAGACCAGCCACTGGACCGTGCTGCGTATCCAAGGCCTGACTGATACAGTGTGGTGACATGTTTTTTACTAAACTGTTAACACAAAGAGCCATCTGGGGTGACCCTTGGCTCGGCAGCAAGAGCCCACAGCAACGGGGCAGGTGTTATATCCCTGAAAGACCCAAGTCTTGGAGCGAGTGCTTTCTCATTTCCCCGAGAAAAGAATGAGCCAGAAAATGATGTAGCTCTTGAGCTACACCTATTTACATTCTCCTCAGAGGGTTTATAAATTACACCAGAAACAAAAGACACAAATCTCTCTCATTGCCCCAACTTTCGACAGGGTCCTCTGATCCGGTTAATGAGGCATGTGTAGGCAGCACTGGCGTGAATCTGTTGTTTTCATTTCTGTTGGTGCGGGTGGAATCGTCTGGAGATGGAAATCAGCCAGAAATATGCACACCGAAGGGCACTGTCTGCCATGAATCTTCTGGTTCTGGTCCATCACCTCTGGTCATTAGCATTCTTCCATTCTCAAATTCCAACACTCTAACATCCCTATGATTGCTGCTTTGGACCATTTTTACAATTCAGGAATTCTTTCTATGGCAAATATCTTCTGATTGTTCACAGAGGATGCAGAACGCAACGCAGGTGATGTCCACAGCCCCTCCCCTGACCAGCTGCCGCAGCACCCTGAGCCTTCCCAGCGCTTCTGAATACTTCCGTCCAACTTTTATTTAAATGAACAAATGACTGTTCTTGATCTAGGCAGAGACAACTTTATTAACAGCATTATAATAATTCTAGTGTAGACATGCTTACAATTTTGAATCTAGTTACCTTATGTGGTAAATTATTTTTTGCTGTTCCAGCTGCAGCCTAATGTAGGTCCCAGCGAAGTTGTTGGAGGGTTTGGTGTAGTCTTTATAAATTTTACATAAACACCCACAATCACCTTCTCACCTTGAGCAGAACATATTTTAAAATTTATGCTTTAAGAGGCTAGATTTTTGGGGGCATAGATGTTTCACTTCAGAGCTGACCAAGTATTTCCACGTAGTTTACCTAGGGTTGGGAGGAAAACTTTCATTTTGTAAAAGTAAGAACATTGTTTTCACTTTTTAAAAATAATTTTGACAATGATTATTTTTATATTTAAAAAGACAGAAACAAAATATATGGAAGAGCTTGTAAAGGCTAACATAAATCTGATAACCATAAAGACTATTTTTAAAAAAAAATTTCAGCAATGGTTAATCTCTCTTTTCTTCCAAATATCTTTCAGACATTCTAAAAGTGTGTTTGGGTAGGTCCTTCCCTTCCCTTCATCACTATGGCAAGCAGCTAATAATGAGCTAAGTTACTTGGAAAACTGACTTTAAAAAAAAGGATGAGTCAAAAGGCAGCTCCATTTTTAGTTTTCTGAGGAAATTCCATACTGTTTTCCACAGTGGCTGCACCAGTCTGCAATCCCACCAACAGCGCACTAGGGTTCCCTTTCCCCTACAACTTCTCCAACACTTGTTTGTTGCTTTATTTATGATAGACATTCTGACTGGTGAGAAGTGGTATCTCATTGTGGTTTTAATTTGCATCTCTCTGATAGCTAGTGGTACTGAGCATCTTTTTCATGTGTCTCTAGATCATCTGTATGTCCTCCTTGGACAGGGATCTAATCAACAAAACAAACAAACAAGCAAAATATAACCAAAGGCACTGACATAGAGAACAGGCTGCCAGGGACCAGAGGCGAGAGGGGAGGGGATTTCAGGGGAAAAGGGTGAAGGATTTACAGGAACAAGTATAAAGGACACATGGACAAAAACAAGGGAGGGATGGAAATGGGAGAGAGATGAGGAGGGCTGAGTGGTGGGCTGGGATGGGGGAAAAAACAGAAAACTGTACTTGAACAACAATTAAGATAAAAAATAAAAGACAAAAGAAAGAAAAAAAGTTGAAAATAGCATGACTGGCTGCCATCACCCACAGTCTAGCTGGTATCTTTGCTTCAGGCCCTTTTCTCTCTATCGCAGAGTTGACCTGGAATATGTCTTTCATTTAAAAACTTTATTATTTATTCACCCATTCATTCTTTTATTCAAACCCCAAAATTAAAGGTCACAGATTTCAAGGAAGTTGGGATCTCTTGTAGGGCAGATCTAAGAAATCACTTCCTAGGGGTCTTTGTTGAATGCGGTTCTTTTGTAGAAACAACAATGAAGTCTCTTCATATTAGATATTAAGAAAATGACTGCTAATCGATGAATTGGTGAGTCTTAGCTCAATAAGTTAATTCGTCTCAAGAGAAAGACACATTTCTTCTTTTCCCCCCATAGGTAATGGTAATAAAGTCTAGTACTTTATTTCCTGAAGGGCAGAGATTAGGGTTTTATTTTTTGTTTTTGTTTTTCAAATGGGCTTAGCACTGACCCCATAGCAGTTGCTGGAATATTACATATAAATATATATGTTCTGCTTTGCAGGTTTTGATGAAGCTGATGGTTTAGAAAATTGTGGCTTTGGTTTTACCTTGTACAGGGAATTTATTGTGCTACTTTTTAGAAAAAATAGCTGTTAATCAGCAGTCACAGGACAGGTTTATATTTATACCCGTCATTTGTATTTACCACCACTTACAGCAGCTCTGTGAGAGTCAGGATTGCTGCCAGGCTGCTGGGAAGGGGGTCCTCTGAGGTCGTCTGCTTTAGCGGCGGCGTGGCTGGAGTGAGGACTCGGGGTAGGGCTCGCTGCTGCTCAGCCCCCACGTCTCTACCCTGCTCTGCTGGCTCTTGCCTCCCATCTTCCTCCTCCCCTTTCCTTTCCTTCAGTGAAGGAAATAATGACTTGAGATAAGGACAGAGAATGCCTGCACACTGGGAGCTGGACGCAGGTCTTTGGTCTTTGTGAAAGGATTGCATGAAGAGAGAGTTGGTTCCCTCACCCCTGTAGCTTATTCAAACTCATGAAACTTTCAACGTCAGTGATACAAAAAAAAATAAACAGGAGTGACGCCGTCATCCCCCAATTTGGCAATAGGGATGTCGGTGCCAAGTCGTGCTTGGTGAGCAGGAGGAATGTTTGAGGGAGGTTAAAAATATAATATACGTATGTGCATATTCAAATATATGTATTTATTATTCTGATGTGGGAAAAATGATTGTAGCGTGAGTGTAAAGGTGCTCATAGATTTATTTTATTCAGAATCGTGGGCCCAAACCTACGTATAAACCTGTCTTCACACTTGAGTTTTCCCCCAACTTTAACCAGTTCTAATATAGAGGGTGAGGGTCACGGGAGTTTTACATCTGGAATAGTTGAGATAATAACGCCCAGTCATTGCAAAGGCGGGTGGCTGGGAGGAAGGGGGATTTTACATCGATGAACTCAGGGCAGGCCCTGTTGCCAGGTAGCACCTGGAAGCCTCAGAACGAGGCCCATGCTTTCTTACCTGTGAGTTCTAGACCCCTGGGGGAGAGGAGCGGCCCTCGTGGTAGCCGAATTCATATCATCTTGAGGCTAAATTAGCAGTGATAAATATATTGAGCACTTCTTGCGTGCCCGTACTTCACATTCATTACCTCGTTTAATTCTCACTGCAACCCGGGGCTGCAGTTACTATTTGTATTTCCGTTTTCCAGATGGGCACTGGGACAGGCTTACAAAAGTGGAAGAACTTGTCCAAAGTCACGTAGGAACTTTAGGTGACAATTGGGTTCTGGGAAATTGTGGATGTTGAAAAGATACTTTTTAATTTAAAGGGCTGGAATGGCAAATGAATCTTAATTTGTACTCTATAGACAATTAATCAGGAATGGCCATCTCGGTTGGGAAGGCTGGGCAAGGCTGCTCCGGCCTGTCCTTGCTGGCTGGGGTGGTAGGAGGGCATGGTGGTGTGGGCGCCGTGTATTTGCAGGCGCTGTAAAAATTGTACTGTGAGAAGAACTTGAGAATTCACGGAGGTCGATCTTTTCAGTTTATTGAAGAAGAAACTGTGCTCCAACCTGGGGGTTTTTCACCCACATGATAGCAGGCTGCAGGGACAGCTTCGTTTAGTATGCAGGGCCTGCATTTCCCCAGTCCTGTGCCCTAGTCTGTTGCATTGTGGGTAACTCCAAAGCAGTCCTTTTAGGTGAGAGGAGGTGATTCTCAAGCTTTCCTGCATTTTTAAAATGGCTTGGGAGTAAAAGACTGCCAGCCAGATCCTCTCAGCATTACGAAGCCCCCCCTTTTTATAGAAGGTTGGATTACTTCTTGCAGACTTCAGCATACCTGAAGAGCACGGCAGGAAGGACTCACTACGGTGTCCCCGGGACAGCTAGCCGTTTGGCTGGATACTTACAACAAAGCTACTCTGGACACAGGGGAGTGGGGATGATAGCTATTCTCCCAAACTCAGCAGCTTAGAGGGAGACATGGATAGTAGTTGAAGAGCAAACTCAGTAGGACTTCACTGGAGTGGGCAGTGGGCTTTGGAATCAATGGAAATGTGCATGCTTTTTATATCACTTGGGCCATGCCCTAGTATTCAGAGACAGGGGATCTCACCGGCTGCATGGATGTTGCTGGCAGTCATCACACAGGGAAGATACCCATCAGGTAAATGAGATCATCGACAGGTGTGATCACAACTTCATTGGTCGGCCTTTCTCACTGGCTGCTTCCCCAATGCCAGGCTCTTGTCATTCGCCAGGCTAATCCTTGGGTACCATTATCATCCCTGTATTTGTAACCAGCATATTGACTCTGCAGGCTCCTGAGGAGAGACTGTATTTTTTAGAGTTTTGAACAATCAGCTTCCAGTTTTTCCTTTGACTATCATGCAAGGCAAGTGTGATATGTATTGCCTAAAGGTCTTTGCCTGAAATTATATGCTGCGAGTCCACTGACTTTTCTTGACATCTGGGGCAGAGTAGCCTGGCCTCTGGGATTTTCTTTGGTCTAGTCTCATCCCCTTTAGCAGTGAAAATGACTAAACAAGCTCATCTGAGTCTGCAGTGGAGTCTTCCCACGACAGGTTTTTCTAAAACCACACTGACTCCAGTCTCTGTTACTGCATACACACATTCTGGGGGCATCCTCTATACGTGGTGACAGTTACAGTTGCTGATTTCCTATCAAGACATTGCAGATCCTAGCAGAGGGGTTTCACCCCTTCTTGTGCTGGGCCTAGACCCAGTGAACGGTCTGTGGCTCAACAGGGGTAGCCCAGGGGAGCCGTGCCTTAAATGTTCCTGTAGCCTGCTCTGCTTTTGCTCTGCCCGTGCTCCTGAATGTGGAGCTGAGAGAAAGATCAAGGGCACTGTCAGTCTGTTCCTTCCTCTAATATGTGCTGATTGATGAATGGGCAACAAGAGAAACATACTAAAGTAAAATGCTTCCAGAGTGTACGGCTGCAAAGAAAGCAACTTTCTAGTTCTGAAACCAGTGACAAGCCAGCAGGAGGGCTGTTCTTTGAAAAAGAACGGCAGCTCTCATAAAAGGACATTTCGTTTCTTGAAACTGAAGTCGTTTTAAGAATGTGGACAGAATTATTAGTCACGTGGAACCCAAATCCCCCGACATCCACTGCACGGCATGGACTCCAGCACAAATGCATTCCCAGATGCAGTGACCTTTGCTTGTAATGGAGCTGTTTGTGGGCTGAAAAAATGAGTTTGCCGTGAGAGGCCCTCTGCATCCCTGATTCATACGTGCAGTGATCTGGACAATGAACTTGTGAGAAAGCACGTCACAGGGCGCGGGCTTGTGCCCTTTCTATTTCATGTCAGTTCTTGGGTTTACGATTATATTTTCAGATGTAGGGAACCACAGCCTTCTTCATGGGAGGCCACAGATCATTCCATGTGTTTTTACACTGTGGGAGGAATGCACCAAGAATACTGAACAGGAAAGTTTTGTCAGCATTTCTCTAGGAAACCTCAGCAGTTAAAGATTGAGAAGGTAGAAGCGTGCTTTCGGTGGGATCCGGAGGCTGGGATACAAATCACGTAGCCCAAACCTCTCGCTGCAGCTGAGGGAGTGGAGGCACAGACAGGTGGGGTGCTTTGCCAGAGCAGCCCAGTCAGGCAGCAGCCACCCTGGACCAGAGCCACGTTTCCAAACCCCCGCTTCAAGGCAGTTTCTGCTTCCCTTTTCCTTTCTCTCCTGACTAATTCACCCTTGAACTTAAGAAAGACACAGAATCTAGTAGTGTATTTATCAAAATACAGTTCACAATCACGTATGTCTGAGTCACCATGGATGCCCTTAAAATGCAGATTTCTGGGATTTCTCCAGACCTACCAAATAAAGTCAAAGCCTGGGTATCTGCATTTTCACAAGCTCCTTAGTGATAAAATGCACATTCCATGTGAGAATCACCAATTCGGGGTCTATAAACAGGCAGGTGGCATGTGGCAGGAAATGCCGGACTAACTTATAGCATCGCTGAACTTACCTTGAGAATCCGATCCTTCATTGGTCCTGCTGCTCCTCAGGCCAGTCACGCAGTGAGCTGAATGGAGCTAATGATGGTTCAAAGAGCAATTAGGTTGGCTTTCCTGTTTTCCTAACGCCTGCTCTGGGCATAGCTGTAACTATTAATATTAGCTCTTTTTTTTCCCCACCTGGAAATATTTGTCTTCTGTATATTGCTCTACTGTACTTGGTGGAAGGTAAATGAATGCTTTACAAATATCCTCAAATATGCAGGTCCACTCCAGACACTGTTGATAAACAGTTACCTGGCCTCAAAATGTCTCTCAATGAGTCTGCACGTAGTTTAGTCAGAGTCCCAATTACCTCTCCACGCAGGTAATTATTACTTCTGCCATTTAAGTGAAATTTCGGTACATTGCTTATAGAAATAAATATAGGACCGTATTTATGCTATCCCTGCTTCTATTCATAGCATAGACTGAAAATTCCATTTCTGTCGGGTTATAGCTCTGAATGGTTCTTCAGGATGAATTTGGCTGATAATAAATAAAATAATACCATAATCTCATTTTTTTTCTTTCAGCACCGAACAGACTTAAAAACAACAACAATAACAACAAAATGCCCTAACACTCCATTTACCCCACATATGGGAGAATTCTATAGTTCATGGCAGACTAATAACTGAACAGTTCTGTGAAATTATTGAGCCATGTTGTAGAAATGGGCCATCATGGCACTTTGGAAACCTCACTGTGGAGTTTAACGGGGTTTGCGGTGTGTTTTGCAGCATGCTCTTTCTGACAAGGCATGTGTGAAAGCCTTTGACCCGAAGACAACTTGCTTGCAGGAATGCCTTATCACCACCTTCCAGGAGGCCTACTTTGTTTCAGAAAGTTTTGAAGAAGCTAAAGAAAAAATGAGGTAAGCTTGTTTTTTGGCCATCTAGAGAAAATGACTTATTTTTCTGGCTCTGTTTCTTTGTTCTATCTCTTACACCAATGAGGGTTGATTGCATATCTTTCTGTTTCTGTGTATTTTGCAGGGACTTTGCAAAGTCAATTACCCGTCCCTTCTCAGTGTACTTCAATCCCTACACACAGAGTATCGAAATTCTGAAGGACACCAGGAGTATTGAGAACGTGGTGCAGGATCTCCGCAGTGATCTGAACACAGTGTGTGATGCCTTGAACAAAATGAACCAGTATCTGGGGATTTGATGCCCGGGAACAGTATTGTCACCAGCGTGATCTTTTTGAGGGCTTAGCAGTCAATGTCATATAACACCAATACCTGTGTCTGTGTCATGGCTTGGCTAGCAGGCATGCAATTATGTATATCTCTACCTGCTTGTAACTTACTGTGCTGATGTGTGAAACACCATTAAGAACCCAGTGACAGGTAACCACTCATTGTAGGAAAGATTTTAATATGTTTAAGTGTCTTAAATTGATTTGACATTCCTGCTTAGTGTCTTTCACCAAACTGCATCTATTTAAAATTTGTAACAAATAGCCCTCTTACGATTCTGGCTGGTGACCTTTTCCTTCTCAGATCTGAGCCTTTTCTCTGTGTTCATTAGATAAAATGAAAATAGCAGTGGAACCGTCTCTGCTTTCGGTAGCATCAGTACTTTTACAGCATTATTGGAGAGAAACCCAGAACCGTAGGAAACTTTCCATCGTGTTAACAATATTCAGGATTCTGTTAAAAAATTGTTGAGGTAACACACGCGTTGGAATGACTTCTAGGTTGTATATTTATACAATGGAAGAAAAGAAAGCTTTTAAGAAATGGGATATACAGGTTGTACTGACCTTGTAGAAACTGAGCTGTGGCATGTTGCCCACGGCACTTTGGAAGGAAATACTTCCATAAAGGGCACTGTTTGAAAGACTAAACAGTGGGGAATAAATCTTGAGACTATCAATTTTATGCTGGAATAAAGTAAATTATCATGCGCAGGTGTTCAACCTATTTCTTTTAGAGGGCAATACAATCATAGAACTTTGCTTTCAATGATGTGGAAATTGAGTCTCAGAGAGGTTGAGCGATTTGGTTGAAGTAGCACAGTTAGTTCCAACCTTTACAGTCCATTGCATGTTGCTTTTTGGGTTGCTAAGAAGCTTAACTTGATATATGCATGTATTTATATATAGTCAGAGAAGGAAACTAATGCTTATCAAAACTAATGTTTATCACTGAATGGGACCTCGTTCGTGATTAAGATTTGCCAACACTACAGACGATTCCTCTCATGGAGCCAAATCACTGGGTGTCTGTCTACTTGTCTAAAGTTGGGGCACGTTTTGGCAAGATACAGTGATAATACCACAGATCTCTGGTCATGCTTGCCATAAGAGGCATAATCAGGTGATTGAGTGGAAAAATAAAAAAACCCCCTGCAGAATAAGTGAATGAATTTCACCCTCTGATTTCTTCAACAAACGCAGCTCTCTTCCCCTCATTCTGCTTTGGTCGTGCAGAATCCCAGGGGGAGACGGGAAAAGTACAGAAGGAAAAGATGATGAAATCACTTTTAAGTTAGCAGTTCTAAAATAATTGCTAGAACAGTTTCCAAGGCTATTCCTTTAATAATAAATTACATATGATTTCAAACTACTTCTTACTCTTATCTGGGCCCATGATGAGGCAGACATATTCAGACTGAACATGTTCAGGAAGAACACGAGGAAGCGTTAAAACATACCTCAGAGAAAGGGAAAATTAAAATGAAAAGTCAGAGTTTTGAATATTAGTTATCTTAACTATTGAGGATCTTTCTTTTCTGCAGGATTCTAAGAACAACTGAGTTTTTGAGAAAGGATTTGGTGGCTAGCAGGTGAGAGTCATGCCACTTAAATGCTGTTCTAAGTGAAAGAGATAGTGCCTTGAAAAATTATTGGTGGTAGAGAAATTATGAGCAAGCTGAATCAAATGAAAAGGATCTAGAAAGATCAAGTAACTGTATTTTCAGTAGTTTTACAGGTCCATAAGTGCATAGTTTCCTAGATCTTGCTTTACTAGATCTAGATGATTCCGAATAATTATTTACTTATAAATACTAATCCAGAAAAATAATCCAGAAATTTCCAGAACTAGTTGCTGAATTTTCTCAGAGGAGGAAATTGGTGAAGAAACTCTTGATGTCTACCCATTGTGGTTTTCCCATAATTTGGTGTTGCATTAGACACCAGTAAACAAACAAACAAACCCGTTAAGTAGCCCAGAAGATTTTCCCTTCTAGCCCTGTAAGAGGGGAGCCTCTTAGTTAAATGGTCTGAAGGCAGAATTATATTTAATTGTAAACAAATTCCCTCAACAAAAATTACATTGGAGCGGTCTTCTGATTGGCTTATAGCGGCATCTTCCGTTTTCTTACATGCGCAAAATCTATGTTGTTTCAAAAATAGAAGGGTTGTGAGGCAAACAGGCTTCCCCACAGAGCTTATATAGGTATCACACAAACAGGAGGAATTACTGTGCTTCATTCTTTTTAGATTTGTTCTCTATTTGGAATAGCAGTTACCATGGTTTTCACCATGTGAAACAATGGGGTCCTGGTTTCCATTTGTTGTGAGCATTTAACTTGCAAATGCCATTACAACTAATGGTGGGAATAATCCTATAAAATTTAATAGCCATCATAGGAAAAATGTTGGCAGAAAAAGTCCCCAAATGAAAACAGTACAAGAAAGGAGTCACAGCCAGTTTCTTGTCATCTCTGATATCTGCTCAGTGTAACCATTTATCTCAATTATGCCTCATGACTTAAAGCTAAATTAAATAGATCCAAGGGCAATTATAAATTTAAAGATACTTGCTCACTGTCATCTCACTGTGAATTGCCACTTTATTTTGGTTTACTGCTGACTTCAGTCATCAGCTAATCAGAAATCAACCCAAGGTTCCTAGCAAGACCCGTTTTCTTGCCCATCACACTTTGCAAAAGACAGCCAGACCTGATCAACCCAGCTTCCTTTTTGAACCATTTTTGTATGTTGTGAGGTAGGTGCAGGCATCTGGTATATTCTTGAATGATCAACATAATATTGATAGATTGATTATAAGTTGCATCTTTTACAAGTAGGGAACTTTGATCCAAGATAGTTTAAGAAATTAGTTATTTTTTTAAAACTTTAACGGTAAGGGTTGTGAAACTTGGGTTTGTGGCTTAGTATTTATTTACGGTGTAATTTAGAAATGATGCTTTATAGGGATGACATATCTGTGCTTGTCTCACTTGCGCATAGTAAATGGACCCGAGCCTAATGAATGCAAAGCATTGCAACATTTACCAACATGAAAAGTCTAAAATGAAAAACAGTGTGCTTTAACGTGGAAGCAAATAGAAATACAAAGTTTCATTTTCAAACGTAGTCATGGCTCACATCACCTCATTTTCTTCCTTCGAGGAGGAAAACATTAACACAAGATGTGGTTGTCCTCCAATTCATTTGCTCTAATTTTCAACATCTAAGGAATCCAGCGCCGATGCTCACTCTCAGGAACCTTGTCTTACTTATAATGAAAAAGAAGGCAGCCCAGAGTTTTCCAGTGTGTCTGATTTTTTTGTCTTCTTCAGTTTCCAAAGACATTCTCTTATTTGGGGAAATGATTCTTATGCCAATTGCCATGATCTGGGAAGAATCAAGGGAGGGAGTGATGGGATACAGCTCCTTCTAATATTAGATTTGCACGTGTCCAGAATAAACCAGTTCTGGAGCATGGAATTCTTTATAACGTGACTTGGGTCATGACATTCATTCAGTGGTTTAGACTGTGTCAGGGACTGTATCAGGCACTGTAGTAGATACTGAGGAAATGGTGATGCATAAGACAGAGGAGATTTATGCCCATTTTGAACTTACATTCTAGGGGATAGATACAGGCAAAAAAACTAGATTATTAGGTTGAGATCCTGGCAAATTTTATGAAGAAAATAATCAGGGTAATGTGATAAAGAAAAAGGGGGAGGGGGTAAGATGAGGAGGAAAGAACTTCCTGAACAGATGGTATTGGATGAAGAACCACAGGATGAGAAGAAGCCAGGTATGAAGGGGGCTATGGAGAGAGTGTTCCTGGAAGAGGGGACAGCAAGCTTGAAGCTTGAAGGCAGAAATGAGGTTGATACATTCGGGGAAGTGATAGATTGCCAGTGGGCTGGAGAGGCAGGAACGGAGGGCAGCATGGGGCAAGGATGAAGGACACAGGGATCTACCGGGGTCATGTATACTCCAAGTCTAGTGGGAAGTCCTAGAGGGCTGTAGGCAAGGCAGTAGCCTGATCTGATTTACATTTTTATGAGGTTAGTCAGGGTGCTGGGTGGAAATGAATTGTAGGGGGCCCTGAGGGAGGGTGTGTGGACAAGAGTGAGTGGTAGAACCAAGCAGGAGGCCGTTGTGATACTGGGGATCTGCCAAGTCCATATCCTGGCGGCTCATGGTGCACATTACTGATATGGTTGTAATTCAGTAGGTTACAAAGTGAAATGGGTGGGTCAGCACTGTCAGGTGGAACGCTGGGTTGGTTATCGTTTTCGCTGGAGAAGCGCACATCCAATGATATCCTGTGTCTTTTGCAAATACTTAAAGCTCCTTCTGACAAAGCAACATCATGCTTGTCCTGGCCATCTGTGAAGGACACACAGCCAGACTGGAAAGCAAATGCATTTTTTTTTTGTGACTCACAGATATTGACCCCTTAAGAAAAATGAAGTAGAAAATAGGGCGTCCTTGGTAAGAGTTGGTGATGCTCAGACTCGGACAGTAATTCAGGTCAGAAAGAAGCTTCCTCACCTCTAGGCAAACTAAAGAGTTGTATTCACCCTGGCCATTTCCGTGGGAATAGGCCACATAAATATAAGTGAATTAAAGTCTCTTGTCACTCTTCTCACTGCCTCTCATCTGGCCAAATGTACATTTCAGATACCCTCGAACAGTTCACTCTCTGTGATTCCTTCTCTCCAAGAAGGATGGGTCTGGTGCAGCAGCTGGAAGTTCACATCCTTCGCTGGGAAGATCGTAGTGAGCCTTATGTTCAACCCAAGGGCATCTGTGGTTATGGTGCCTGCAAACAGCATTCTCATAATCCAGTCTGGATACAGTTTTTATAATTGAACAACAAAAAGCATCTGACAGATGTGGGAGGGTAATTTGAAAGCTAGATGGCACAAAGAAATCAAGTTCATTTTCTGTCATAATCAAATCTTTAAAAAAGATGCAAAACTAGTTCTCACTTTTCAGGTAAAGAAAGATAGTACTAATTATAGGAAGGTGGTAGGAGTTTCCCGGTCCCTCCTTAATCCTTCCAGATCTCTTGCAATCTCCTTACTTTTTAGCTTGTTAATTTCCGTGGAACTAGTAAGATGCTGATTCAGTAGGTCTATTATTCCCAAAGGTTTGCAAACCACTGAACATATCTAATGTACAGCTTGCCCAATTTTAGTGAACAGTTAACTTCAGAGACGTTAATGAGGCCAGTTATTGGCAAGTGAATTTGAAGTGAAGGACACATTAAGGTTTGTCACTATAG